ATCGATCGTGGTTAACTAAGGGTTTCATTCTCCGCTGAATATGTGCTTTCGCTGCGCATGTTTGGCTTGCTGCCATCCGCAAATAAGAGGTCGTGGACATCGGTTTTGGAAAATGGCATGAGCGCCTGCATGGGTCGTCTGTTGAGTTGCTTTCCGTTAGCTTGCTGGTTACAGTTGATTTTCTACCGATCCGCATGCTAACCGCCCATCAGCACTTCGTAGCATTTGTGGCAAGAAAGAGTGAATACGGCCACGTATGCTGGTTTCACCCTATTTACCACCGTACTTGCCTCCTAGACCGACCCATTTTCTACAGTGCGAGCCGGCATGTCATTGTGCAGTTGTCTGACCATTTGTGTAAATTGCAAGGCTACATTTTGACGCCGCGTCAAAGAAAAGGAAGTGTACACTGTCATCAGCCGAGAAACCGGCTATTTTTTCGGCAAGAACGCGGAAAGCGACCACACTCAGGGAACAAAAAACAGGTCATCGCGGCGTATTGCGCCTCGCGTTTCTTGTAACTGATGCTTCCGCGCTCTCGTAACTAGATGGTATGTAATCTACTTCTTTTGTGAAAACCAACTAGAAGAATTGCGAGAAATACTCAAATTTGCCTTCACTGTAAGATATCTTGATACCCTCATCATTCCCAGGGGGGATCTGGTTCCTGGTACGTGTGCTCGTTTGCAAGTAGCTGTGGAGAAATTTAGTGCGAGGACGCACTATGCTACCTCAGCATTTAGCCGAATGTTTACCTGGTTTTTGTTCCCTGAGTGGGATTGCGTAACGCATACTTGCCGAACTTTGTTTGCGATTTCGTTTATACATAGAGAAATCCACCTTGCCATAAATTTGCCCATATTATGACGAGAGTGGCGTTTTTGATAGACACTGGGCTTCGACGGAAACAGTTGACCCGGTGTAAACCGCGTCAACGTAGTATTTGGGAATTCTTATTACTAATTCTTATTTCAACGACCCTTCGTAGTCTCCAGCGAACAAATTGGTCAGGCTTTGAGTTTATAGCAGGTACTAAAATTCTCAGGACACACGTAGCCGTTGCAGAGCGGAAGGACGCTTAGACTATCTCTAGAATTCATTAGTCTATTACTTATTCAGTCGTATGAAGAGTTCGGTAATTCCTGTTTGAATCAACATTACTTAACACGAATTCTGAATTTTATTGCTCCTTTAGATTTACTCATCTCATTGTCCTTTTTAGGACCGATTTTACCTTGTTCACTTTCTTCTTCATTTGCACACTGATCACAAAAATCCTGTTCGGCACTTTATCTACGACTCGTATGTGCTAAAGGCGCATTTTCAGACCTCGGATGGATATCAGACGCTTCCCCTTTAATCCTCCATACCATACCCTCTTTTAAATTCAACGCTGCGGACCAAGAGCATGTGGAAGGTTTAAAATTAAGCGCTTTGCCTTTTCTACATGACCGAACAGCACGGTAAAAGCATAAGAAAATTAAACTCCTAAAGTCCGCCTATTTTTAAATTTCATTTGTAATAGACTGTTTATTAGTTCCCGTTTTATGCTTCTTATTTGCTCTTTTAGTCGCAAACCCCCTAAGCGACAAACCTGGAGGAAAAATTGACCTCGTATTTTGGCTTTCCACGTTTAATACAATGACATCATACTATTTTTTAGAAACAGATTTCCCCGAAGAAGTTCAATATTTTAAATGCAGAATTTCAATTTTCTCCTTCTTTTGTGAAGACCAATTAGAAGAACTACGAGAAATACTCAACTATGCTTGCACTGTAAGGTATCTTGATACCCTCGTCATTCTTCGGTGATCGGGTTCCTGGTACGTGTGCACTTTTGCAAGTAACTGTGGAGACATTTAGCTCTATGACGGCATATACCACCTCAACATTTACCCGGATGTTTGCCTACTATCGGACTCTCCTTTTCGCCGTTTATCCCCACCCCTCAAACTTGTATCACACGATGACCTGGTGTTTGTTCCCTGTGTGAGGTCGCATACTACGTCCTTGTCATCTTTCTTAACATCTCTTGCAGCAGTTGAGGCATACACTACGATTTTAAGATCGGATAACAGTTGTAGACATCACCTGACTGTTATGTGCTCAGAACCCAACTCTCACGTTATAGGGTATAGAAGGTAGAGATAAATGGTTCTATTTACTACGACGGAAAGACCGTTATGTAAGGAAGCAAATAAAATACCCCAGTATTTACCACCGGGAGCCCGAATATTAATGGTACTCATAAAATTGACTTACAAATCCGTTTCCTCCGGTTTTGGATCATGAAAGAGTACCCTGTGGAACAGTAAACGTCCTGTAACTCAAAGAAGGGCGATCTGACAGTCATTTAGCTGGGTTGGGAAAAAAAACAGTCTGCTAGTCCGGTAAGGATGTAGAAAGTGATTGGGAAAAGTCGACAGGATCTGTTGAACAAGAGTTCTATTTGCCCGACGTTTCAGATTCGCACTCGAGTCCATCATCGGAGGCAGAGTCAGACAAAGCCAATGCGCTGCACGCAGACCGGAGGCAGCTATAAGGCGGTAGGTCATGGGGCGGAAAGAACTGCCGCCGTGGCAGGAAACGACTGGAGCAGTTTACCGGATCTGATCCAGTTTTGGACGAGACAATCATGTTAAAAAAAGTGGAAGACTTCCTCGGACGGGGATGATCGAGCGAGCAGCAACAGTAAGGAGGAACGACGTGGTTCAGTCGACGGAACCCGGCCATGCATTCAAGTTCGATAAAGCCGCGCACAATCTTCGATCGATTATTAAGCGCAATGAGATGGCGCCACGATGGTATGCGATGAGATGCTGCCTGGGCAGACTAATAAGCCACACAAGGAGTGAGTGGGTGAGTATCGTTCTCACTGGCATTGTCGATGAGCCAAATGGCCCAAGGATCCACATGAGTTGTAAAATTTTGAAGATTAACCCCAGGCTGCAGGTAATGAAGTAATTATGGCAGCACGTATAGCCATTTGCAATTAATAGTCGAGCCGCCAGTTTTGATAGGCAGGCAGCGCAACGGCAACTGCGTCTTATGAATATTGCAACACATGTACGACTCCCTACCGGCATCTGACTTTGTCTCTTTTGGTGGATTAGAGTGAGAATCGATACATATTTGACAAAACGCGTGCACAGCGGATTGACGGGTTTTCAGCACGCACAATTAACTCTAATTCCTCGCGCCTCTCCTTATCATTCTCACACCAAAATCGTGCCGTTTACCCAACTGATTTAACTGAATTAGTTGCGATCAACAGGACTATTCACAGCCGGGAATTTTACTTTGGACCGTTTCTTTTGGAAAGAGTTAGTTGGTAAGCCTTACACGATCTGTTTCTTCTCTCTCTCTCTCTCTCTCGCTCACTGTCTCCGTGGATTGGCAAGCAGAAATCCTTTCTCGTGTTTTTGGACACTTGTAGTAATCGGCTTTTTAATGTTTACCGCGGTAGGTAGTAGCGAAGCAAACTGTCGAGAAGAATTCGTTGGGTGATCCTACAGAATCTATAGGAAAGAGGATTGTCCACGGTTAAAGCAAACTTCACTGAGTTCAAGCAAACACCATAAAACAGTCATTGTCTGTGTGGAAGGGTCCACTGAACTTAATGCTCAGTGACCAGAGAATCTGGGCTTGGATTCTAGGTTATCTAAGTGTGTGGTTGAACATGACTGACTAAAGTCCCGCTACAACCAATAGTATCGTTTTATCTGTGCACCCAATCACGAAATCCCTGAATGTATATTCCATCAGTCAACCACGAGGGATTGTCAAACTTCCATTGCAAATTCTACGCAGTGTCTGTCAGGAATTGCGAGGAATCACAGTTGCCGGTGAAGATACAATGGCCTCCTTGAACATTATTCACATCTGCACCACTAGATTTAGCAATGCAACACCCAGACGAGCTCTCGACAGTTCGACCGTCGTTGCCGACGATGCCCACCGTGTGCTCCATAGCAGGCTCACAGCAGGCTCAGTGACTTGCGCGTTAAGTAGTTTATAGTGAGAGTAGACTTTCTCAGCACCTACCGCACTCTCCTCCCCCCACCTCCTCACCTGGACCGGTGTCAAGACATAGTCAAGAAGACCGGAGGCGATGGAGGGCGTGGGTGGCTGGTGCGGCCGGACCCGCACCTAGGCATGCCGCCGCACTTTCTGGTCCACAACAAACACTTAACAAAAACAAAGAGGGGGCAGAAAAAAGAGAATGACTGGGCAGCCCCGCTCACGACTTGTATACACAGCGGGAGCGCAAGCCCAGGGAACCAGGTGTCAGAGAGCAGATGGCACACACAAGTCTGCGAAGGCCGTTGTTTGTTGTATCGTGGCGAAGCAGTCGTACATAATCCTTAAGCCCTAGACGTGTGAGACGCAGCCCTTGCACTGTGCCTGGGCCAACACACTTCAGTCAGTCAGTGACTGAGAGGCACTACCCATATGCACACAAACGCCCTCCTTCATGCGTGAGAAGTCGTGACAGCCCAACTCTCAACCCACCAGTCCGCCACTCCACACAAACAAACACAACTGGGCGGACTGCGTGGACTGATCTAGTGGGTCAGTCGGCAGGCTTCCAAACCAAGTCGCTTGGTTCACCGTGATAGTCTCAGGGTGGAATAACACGTATGGCAGAGGAGCCACATGGAGAAGGAGCCGAGAAGAAGGCTTCTCACTTGCGCGCATGATGCCAACTGAGGGTTTTGCGTTTTGTGGCGGTGGGGTGATGTTGTGTGTGTGTGTGTGTGTGCGTGCGTGTTGCAGGTGCTGGAGGGCAAGTGTGATGATGTTGTGTAACCGGCGGTTGTCTACCGCTGGTTTTCATGGATGCGCATGTGACCTAATAGACCCATGCGGCGAGTGAATGTGCGGGGCGGTGGGGACGGTTGCGGCGAGTGCGGCGAGTGTACGCGGGTGTTCCAAGCACTGGCTCGTCATTCTCTGCCCGATAGATTTGAAAGTGACCGGCCTGGCGATGTGTGTGGAGAATGTACGGTCACAGTGGGGCAGGACAGATCGGGAATGTCACAGTCAGTTTCGGCGCCAGTGATGGCCGTACCACTGTTGTTGATGCTGCTGACGCTGCTAATGGTGGTGGTGGTGGTGATGATGGTGGTGGTGGTGGTGGTGGTGGTGGTGGTGGTGGTGGTGGCGGTTGTGGTGGTGGGCACACTAGGCAATGGGATGTGGTTTTGGCTAGACATGGTGGATCTACAAGCTGGGCTTGGTGCGCCGATTGTGAAGTGAAATTCGCTGTTGTGGATACGCATGTGACATAATGAGCCCATGCGGTGAGCTGGTGCGCGGAGTTAGGGCCGGCAGTGGAGGAAGATGTTGCGAGTGCATATGAGTGCTCGGGGACTGGTTCGTCATTCTCTGCGCAATGGATTCAGGATTGACCGACGAGGCCGAGGGTTGAGACGAATGTGTGATCGCAATGAGAACAGGTATGGATCGAGTTTACATCACTGGTTATGGGGGTGCGCTGGTGATGCAACCATGCAATGGAACTTCGGATGTCAGCCCATCGGTGGGGGAGTGCGAAATGCCGCGGTGTTTGTGGAGCTAGTCATTTTGGTGACCGTAGATATTTCCCCAGGACGAATGATGACGGTAATGGATGGCGGCGGGCAGCGACGGTGTGATCGGTAGTGACGGGAGTGGTCGCCGTCGCGGTGTTTGCGGCAGGGCGAGGATAGGAGAAGAAATCGACGTTGTCGGTAATGGCGCATTGCGTCGGAAGGTGTTCTACGAGACCGATTTGTGCCCAAAACGTTCGTTGACACGGTGGGCATGCTGAAGGCGGTTACGTGTTGGCGCTGCGAAGTGGGGACGGCCGGAATTTTCGAGTTTCGCGGCGGCGGCGGCGGCTGCGGCGGCGGCGGCGGCGGTCGCGGTTATGTGGCTGACTTGGTAGATCGCTGCAATTGTCATCACTGTCCTCCTACAGGCCGGCTGGCCCCGGGACAAAGTCTTCCCAGTTGGACGGGTTGGACTGCAAGCGCTTCAAAGAAGCCTTGTAGCGCCGGACTTGACCCCCTTGCCAACGAGAACCCGTGTTGACGCATCATCTGAGCGAATCACTCGGGTCAGTCAAATTTCTGAATGATTTTCCACAGCCCTTCGCGATTCACAGTGTGGAATGCTTTCGTCAGATACAAGAAGGTAGAGTAGAGATGAAGCCGCATCTCTTGACATTTCTCTTGCAGGTCGGCGAATATCGTGTCAATGGTGTCACGATGATGACGGAAACCGCACTGGCTTTCTGTCAGGAGTCCTTGTTTCAAATGGGCGTTGAGGTGATTGAAAGGAATACGGGCTAATATCTTTCCGGCGATTTTGAGCAACGAGACTCCTTTGTAGTTGTCGCAGACTTGACAGTTCCGTTTCCGCTTGCTGAGATGGACGATTTTGGTGTATTTGAAATCATGATGGACTTTTCTTTGGTAATACATATCTTTGAAGACCGCTGTCAGATGATTCAGAAGTTGGGAGCCGCCGTGCTTGTAGATCTCAGCAAGGATCGCGTCTGATCCGGGCTCTTTCCCACAGGAGAGTTGTTACACGGCACTGATGGTTTCGTAAAGAGAAGGAGGGAGGTCAAGGTCGGCGTTGGTCTTTAATTGAGACAGACGGAGGATGGCGACGTCGGAGATGGTGGAGAGACGGTTGAGGACGCCTCTGAAGTGCTCGGCCCATCGCTGCAAATTTGCGTTCTCCTGGTATTTAGGGTAGTTGCATCGACGCTGAGAAGAGGAGCGGTTCCTTTGACTATGGGACCGTAGGCAGCCTTAATAGTGGCGAAGGAGTTCTTCCGGCGGTTGCGGTCCACGTACCCTTGGATTTGTTCGGTCTTACGAGCCGTCCAGACGTCCTGTATCTCCTGCAGCCGCCACAGCACAAGGCGGCGACTTTGGTAGAAATCTGCTTTGTTTCTGTCGCCATGCGGCTGCTGGTTGAATTGGGCTTTGTGCAGACGATTCTTCTTTGCGAACAGGTGGCAGTTGACGGCGTCGCTGTCGCCCAGTCCTGGTGCGGGCGACCGCTAACGTGAAACATATCAGTTTTTACTGAGATCTATAGGCGCAGACCGACATTTGATGTATGAATATTTGGACCGAAGTCCTGGCATTCTCTTAACTTTAGGTCTCCTGCGGCACTGTTGGAGGATCCCACCTTGGAGATGACGAAGCGATGGTCAGTCCATCCGTCGGCACACGTGATGATCGTCTTTGTCACCAGCATTTCTTGCTGGCCCCGCCTCTGGATGCGAACATAGTCCAGAGGGTGCCGCTGTCAGAACCGAGGGTGTATCCAGGTCACCTTCTCCCTCGTCGGAAGGCGGAAGAAGGTGTTGGTCAGGATGAGGCGGAGCTCTGCGCAGGCTCGCAGGTGAAGCATACCATTGTCATTAAAGCGCCTGAGTCCGTGGGGACCCAGCACTCCTCTCCAGGCAACACGGTCTCTATCAACGCGGACCTTGAAGTCACCGAGGACAATCAACTCACCCACCTTCGGCACAGACTCCAGGAAGGCGTGCATGTCCTCTAAGAATTTGTTCTTTTTCACGCCAGAGCTGACCGTCAAGGGGCGTAGATGTTGATAATAGTGGCGAATTTGCCTAACCAGAGAGGCAGACGCGGGCTCATCAGGCGGGTGGTGGTGGTGGTGGTGGTGGTGGTGGTGGTGGTGATGGTGGTGGTGGTGGTGGTGGTGGTGGTGGTGGGATGTTTGCCTTGTAGCGCGCAAGTTCCCCAACAAACAATAGGTCAGGTTGGGTTATTACCAACAAAGACAAGGGAGACTGGAATGACCATTTCAGCGCTTTTTACTTTTATATCTTCTCTGCGTTGAAACATGGTTCCGCTCTTCTGATGTCCTGTGGCAGACAGGGAAGTTGTCTCACGCTGTCGTTCGGGATGACAAAGGCGACGCCCGCATCTCGTCGTTATACCTTGGCGTAACCCCTTCAGAAGAATGTTTGTCTGACACCCATCTCCTCCATTTGACCTTGCTCAAAGAAGTGGGGTCTCGCTGAGTCTAGGGATGTTTGCCTTGTAGCTCGCAAGTTCCCTGGATGGTTAAAGTCCAGTCGTTCCCCTTAAAGACAGCAGCATCAGTTTTTAGTTAGCCAATGGAAGAAACGCGGTTTCCAATTTCTTCATTGAGACCTCGGAACGGAAGCCAGAGGCAGGTGATTCCTCAAGTGTATCGCCCACAAACAATAGGTCAGGTTGTGTTATTACCAACAAAGACAAGGAAGACTGGAATGACCATTTCTGGCTTAGTAGTCGTCGTCAGCCAGTCGCGCCTAATCCCGTAGTGTGAAACACCCGAGGCTCGAACTTACGACCTGTTAGTTAGAAGTCCACGCCTTCAACTACTGGGCCGTGAGCCCCGTTGCCTGTCGGTTTTCGATCGGGAATATACAATGGTAGGGGGCGCTCACCGATCGTTCATACGAAACTCACTCGTTCCGTGGTGCCTTATGGACTCTCTCTCGAGCCCAACCAGCAGCCGCACAGCGGCGCATGATATATAGGCAAAATGGTATTGCCGACAAAGACAAGGGAGACTGGAATGGTCATTTCTGGCTTATTAGCCGTCGTCAGCTAGCCATACCCAAGCCCGAAGTGTGGAACACCCGAGCCTCGAACTCGCAACCTGTTGGTTTAGAAGTCCACGCCTCTATCCACCGGGCCACGAGCCCGTTGCCTTGTCGGTTTTCGACCGGGAATATACAATGGTAATGGGCGCTCAGTGCTGTGTGGCTGCTGGTTGGGCTCGAGAGAGAGCCCGTAAGTTCCGTGAGTTCCGTAAGAACGATGGGTGGGCGTCCTCTACCATAGGCCAAGTTCTAGGAATGGTTGCGTAATTTAAAGTAAGGCAACTGCGGGAGCATTTGTGTAGAAGCACTGGAGGAGTTCTTCTATGCACCATCCTCTGGAATATTGCGGAAAGAACGTGAACGAAGAGAGGACTTTGAGCGATATCATCATCTCATCCGCTGCAATTATGATTTCTCGTAATATGCTTTGGCACTCTGCAGACTCTTTGATTGGAGTTCATTTTTTCTTTTTACGTTAGTGCAGTCGGTGGAATAGGTACTTATAAATTCTGTGTTATATGCACCGATTAACGATATGATCGACCGCAATGGAATGTCAGTTTTGTGAACGTTAGAGAGTCCATAGATCTTCTCGATAGTCTGCTAACCTTGTATCAGGAATTTAGTGGCATCTCCCAGTATTAGTTTCCTCCCTCTAAGACGTCCCAGTATTTTGTAACTTGAAGCAATCTATGCTGTGACAAAGTTCTTAGCAAGAGATATGCAGACGGATTGACATCTTAACTATAACACCATTTTACTAGTGCAGTCTGTTTGGTTGAGTCCCCCTTCGCGTGCGATGGGACTGATGATCATTCAGCCAATTCAGCGTTTTTTACTTTTATATCTTCTCTGCGTTGAAACATGGTTCTGCCCTTCTGACATTCATAAAGAATTAATGAGTATCATAAACCTTCCCCTTCCAAGTGTTTTGACGTTGATATGATGCATTTTAAGCTTGCAAGGCCGTATAGGGCGGGTTCAATCGCAAGAATTGCATTTCATTCTCCTACAGAGCATTAAAAGGAGTAAGTTGTAATCGATGGCTGATCTCGCGCAACAAGGCCCCTCGATTTCAAGGAGCGGAGAATATTCTCACCGGTTTCAAGTGTTTTTGCGAAAGCGATAAAGGTCTTCGTCAAGGTCGCTAGAAACCGTCTCAGTCAAGATTTCATAGGAGGAGAGTCGCAAAACGGAAAACAGAGCAATGAGCATAGAAAGCTGTGTAATAGTAAGCGATATAACGACGTGGTCACCAAAAGTATATTTTCTTACGCTAAAGTAAGGAATTTTTGAGGATTTATGCATGGCTGAGAATGTTAAACTGCATTTCACATACAACAAACTCAAGTAGAAAGGAAAAGGATGGCATGCAAACGAAAACGAAATGATAGCATGCGGCGACCGATGTCTGACATAATGGTCATAACGGTACCAAATTGTTCATTTTGAACAAGTTTTTAAAGCCGCACGCTTTTCGCATTATCTGAACTTCTATCTGTCAAAATCCCTGACCAAAGGTCCCAGGATCGAATCTCAAGTAATCCACACTTGGGGTTGGGTATGACCGGCTGATGACGATTAATAAGCCAAAAATGGCCATTCCGGTTCCCTTTGTCTTTGTTGGTACTACTTCATATATATATATATATATATATATATATATATATATATAGTGGTAGGGGGCGCTCACCGATCGTTCATACGGAACTCACTCGTTCCGTTGTGCCTTAAGAGCTCTCTCTCGAGCCCAACCAGCAGCCGCACAGCGGCGCATGATACATAGGCAGAATAACATTACCGACAAAGACAAGGGAGACTGGAATGGCCATTTCTGGCTTATTAGCCGTCGTCAGCCAGCCATACCCAAGCCCGAAGTGTGGAACACCCGAGCCTCGAACTCGCGACCTGTTGGTTTAGAAGTCAACGCCTCTACTCACCGGGCCACGAGCCCGTTGCCTTGTCGGTTTTCGATCGGGAATATACAGTGGTAGGGGGCGCTCACCGATCGTTCATACGGAACTCACTCGTTCCGTTGTGCCTTAAGAGCTCTCTCTCGAGCCCAACCAGCAGCCGCACAGCGGCGCATGATACATAGGCAGAATAACACTTCGGGCTTGGGTATGGCTGGCTGACGACGGCTAATAAGCCAGAAATGGCCATTCCAGTCTCCCTTGTCTTTGTCGGTAATGTTATTCTGCATATATATATATATATATGAGATGATACCGACAAAGACAAGGGAGACCGGAATGGCCATTTCTGGCTTATTAGCCGTCATCAGCCAGTCATACCCAACCCCAAGTGTGGATCACTTGAGATTCGAACCCGGGATCTTTGGTCATGGAGTTTGACGCTCTACCATTGAGCCACGGACCCGTTGTCCTGTCGGTTGTGATCGGGAATATTAATTATGACAATGGGCGCTCGCCGATCAGGTTACGGAACGTGCTCGTTCCGTTGTGCCTTGGGGCTCATGCTTAAACCCTCGCAGGCAGTCGCACAGCGACTAGTGGTAGACTAGTGGTAGAGATACGGGGAATGCTGAGGGACCCACTGAAGAGCCGAACCCCTAACAACTACGACATGCAGCGGCAAAACATCGGCGAAACACGCGTGCATGGCTAGTACCCGTGCTGTTAGTAAGGAATCACCTTGCCCTAAAGTATACTACTAGCTGCCTGTCGGCAGCTAATGCATATTACGCGGTCACCCCCCGTGGCTAATGGACTTTGGCCCAAATATTCATGTAAAAAATTCTCGGTCTGAGCTTATAGACCTTGAATAAACTGATCTACCCCAACTTCGTAGATAATTTCTGAGGAAATTAAAAAGCGACAACTTCGTGATGATAACTGACACTTTAGTAAGGTCTGTTAAAGAGACACCTCTGGCGGACTGCTTATTAAATTGAAATTAGATCAACGTCCTTGCAATACAGTCGGATTTTGGAGTTGACTCCACCATAACGGCCACATGTCGCCCCCCCCCACATCGATACATACAATACAAGGCGAATGCGGAAAAATTAAGTTCAGTCGACAAGATGATGAACTGGAGATCCGAGCTCGTGATACACACGGTGGATGCGAAGGACAGAGGGGGTTGACAATAAACGTCAGTCATTAAGGAAACCAGAAAAATTGAGGAAGAGAATATGCGAAAAAGCAGCACCAGAAAAGTCTTTGACGGAATAGGGTATTCTACGGGAACACGTTAATGGCCAGTAAATACCAACTAAATCACAGAAAGAAGATTTGAAGACAAAACTGAGGCCTGAGGGGGTCGTATTTAAGGAACGTGATATAACGATGACTTAAATATTGCCGCTGTTATCTTTCACTAAAGACTGTCGCAGCTGCTGGGGCTAATTGCATTCAAAACAGAATCGTAAATTAAGTACTATATCTCGCTGTTTCAGTTGCCGTTCTTACAGCTCGCAAAACAACGAAAACGTAACAAACGTCAAATACGATCGATGACGAGCTTACTTTCCTAAAGAACGCTTTTCTTGCAAACGGGCATCCGGAGAAATTCATCGATAAATAACGCCATCCCAGACAAAAAAAACTCCTGAAGAAATATCTGTACCTAAAAAGTTAATGACCATCTACCTCCCTTTCAAGGGTGATAACGTGTCAAACGTGATCCAGCGACGACTACGGTGCACAATCGAAAGGACGTAGGCCGCCTCCAAACTGCTGTTTATAAGCACCAGAACGGCCATCCCAGTTAGACCAGATAAATACATTTTGCCAATGCACGCCACATCAAACTGTATCTATGAGTTTACATGTAGTTGCGGATGCAAGTACATTGGGCGCACGCAAATGCAGTTAGCAGCTCGGTCAGCTCAACACATGCCGAAGTGGCTGCTTAAGGCGGAAAATAAGGTGCCCAGGAGCTCAATCACAAAGCACCTAGTGGACACGGGCCATACGGT